CACAGCCCCATACTTCATTATGCATTCAGTTCTTGGATAGAGAAAACAATGACAAAAACAATACATTGCCATTGAGAAAACAGATTTGTTTAACAATAGTATGGGGCTGTGCGGAAATTTTACCTTGAATACAACTTTGAATCCTCAAAAACTTTTCAAGTAATAACCAAAAAAGAAGCAAACATTAATAACGATTTGCTCACATGCGTTAACAGTATGTGTCTATGATAGCATTGCTTTGTGTGCTAAATTTCATTTTTACAAACCACTTTTGGATTTCTTGTGGATTATGAACCCAACCAATGAAAATTGAATGGAAAACAATAGGTCATTTGAAATGTGAACAGAAACACTGGCATGATTTGTGCCAGTCTTTTAGGTACTGAGTGATAACAACAGCTGTTTTCTACATTTAAATGAAAATGTTGACTGGTTGGATTATCAGTCTATCGCTGTATCACTGCTTTTTTGGGGGGTTTCTTAATTGTTACAGGACTTTGATTCAGATGATATCTGAAACAAGGCTTGTTTCTGTTTTTCTGTAGTTGACCCTTTAACTCCCAGAAGTGATTAACATGTTATTTCTCCCTGTAATATCCATACAGTACTGAACAAGTAGGTAATGAGAATACTCAAACTTATTAGGTAAAAGTTACCTTGATTTAATACCAAATTCTCCCAGCTACTTCACAAGGAAATGCATAGCAGCTAGAGGGGAGAATTAACCATCAGATCATGGGAGCTAAAGGTTTAAGAAATTTACTGCTATGAAGAAAAAAAGAAAACAGTCAAACTACATTATTTTGTAGTAGAAAATTAATTTGACCTAAATTCGTCTTAGACTGTAGCATAAAGATTTTTATTGAAATAATTATTCACCCAAGTGTTGGTGAAAGAGACATGTTTAACTTGCCACCTTAATTGTCTCTGTAAATATCCTCCACTATTCCCCTTCACTTAAGTTAATAATTTTGTGATATTTGATGAGAGCACAAAGAAAGATCAAAACAATTTCTTTGAATAAATTTTTTTAACATCAAATTAAAAGCTGTCATGTCTGCTCTATAACAGATGCATGCCAGCATTTTAATCAGTTTTTTTAGGTACAGTAACAAAGTAATGATAAGTGATGCTTTATTTAATTAACAAACCAACGAGTTCATGACTGAAAATTTCTACCTCAAAATTTTTATGCTATTTTGAAGTGATTATTGTATAATAATCTTGTCTTTAAGATAATGAGTCAGCAGAGACATCAAACACTGGATGAGTGGACCAAAATTGTTGAAATGGTTCTATTTCATAGTGCCTGTTTTGCTTCGCAACTTATTACCAGTGAGTGAACCAGGTAAACAAAATTGATGTAGGCCAAGTTCTGGTCTACTTAACTCACTTCTTATTTGCAGTCTGTCTTGCTACTGTTTCTTTCTTTTTTGAATCTGAAAGATTTTTAGATTATGAATTATTTTTTCATTGTGAAAGACATGACATAATGCCTTTTCTTCAAAATTTGTAGTCTGAATTTTTCAGTGAAATATTTCTGGCATGAATGACTATCTTGCTGGGTGGTACCCTGATTAATCTGACTGCCAGTCTCTTACTGGCCGCTTGTCTCAGTCACTAACAGTTTATCTAACTGTATGTCTGACCAATTGAATAACAGCCTTAAATTATTAGTTGGAACAACCAAGCTGACTGAGACATGCACACAGACATACTGACTACTGCTGTAACTGACCATGTGAGTGTCATACTTAGTGACATATCAATTGACTCTAACAGACTCACTAATTGACTGCCTATCTGCTGGTCTTATTATTCTATGACTCATCCATCATATGCTGGCCAGAATGACCAACTTGCTGACAGACATACTGCCTTAATTTGCTTTTGTGACACCTAGTTTGTGGACATATACTGACTCACTGAGCAATTGACTGAGTTACTAATGTATTTTCAGACCCTGGCTGATCAGCAGAATGACTGTCTGAATGACAGACATGTTAACTCAGCCATTGACTGCTGGCTTAAATGACCAAATTGTTAACTGATACACTGACTGACAGACTATCAATGGATGACTCAAGTAAAGGATGACTTATCCAAAAGAATCATTAACTGACTGACTGAGTGTTCTCCTGACTTATGAATAATTTTCCGTTAACTGCTAGATTGAATGATCAACATTTTTAATGATATACTGATTTACTAACCATCTGACTTGGACTTAAGATGTACTTACTCACTGACTGGTTGACGGACTCATTGATTTCCAAACTGGCTGCCCGAGTTACCACTTATCCATTCGGTGCCAGCTTGAATGACAAAGTTCCTTACTGATATGGTGATTTATTGACTGTGTGACTGGCTAAATGACAGACTTATTTACTGACAGAATGACTGACTTGCTGATAGACAGACTCGTTGATTGAGTGACTTACTGTCTGCAAAACACTGAATTTTTAACTTGTGTATCAAATGCTGCCTTGAATGTCCAGCTTTCTTACTGAGTTAACCTGAAAAAACCTCACCTCTTGACTTTCAGATTTACCTTCATGCTTGTTGTCTGACTCACTAACCTACCAATAGACCAATTAACTGACTGGTATATTTAGGTGTATTAACTTACGTATTAACTGCTGGCTAGAATAAGCAACTTGATGATGATACATTTTACCCTGTCTCATTGCCTAGTTTGTTGATTGATCAACTGGCTGACTGACTGAATTGATTTACTGACTTTATTGACCGACTTGATAGGCTGACTTGATGGACCTACTTGATGGACTGACTTGATTGGCTGACACTCTACCAACCTATCCATTGTCAAATTACTGACTGATTGTTCATTGAGGTGTTTTCACTCACTTATCAACTGCTGGCTGAAATAATCAACTTGTTGACTGATACATTTACATTGATGTAAAAAAGGATTGACTAAACAATTAGCTAACTGATTGACTTGTCAACCTGCTAATGAACTTGTGGTTTCAATTATGACCAACTTGCTGACTGTCTCACTGACTTACTGATCTCTTAACTGTGAGATTCAGTGACTGACTATCTGTCACACTAACTAACTAACTGGCTCGCTAACTGATGTATAATAAGCTGATTAACTTAAAAAAAAACTGAGTTGCAGAAAACATTTATGAATCAACAGGCATACTCATCAATTTACTCATAAATTGACCAACTGACTGACTGACTTAAATGATGGCTTAAATGATCAACTTGCCACATGATACATTTACTCAAGCATTCAGAGTTATAAAGGACCTCTGTACCATCAGACTTGCTGGATGACTGAATTACAGACCTACTAAATCACTAAAATGAGGTGGAATTATTAACTGACTGACTATCTGCGCAACTGTTTGAGTGAGTATCTTATTGATAGAGTGACTGATTCATTAAATGACTCACAGACATGTCAACTTTTATGACAGAATCAGTGACTGACTAACTTAATTAGTAACGGTCTGTCTTTCTAATCAATGGACAGACTGGTTGACAGACTGACAAATCCTATAAACCATCGATGGACTCACTGGATAATTAAGAAACTCTGCACTTATTGATTAATTGAGTTAGTGACTGACCATTAGAATGACTTGCTGAGCTATTGAGTGCAATGAATCATTGATGACTCACTTGCTGATTCACTCTTTGACCAGAAAACTCAAAGACAAAATGACTGAAGTGTTGTCTTGAGTAAAGTGGCGGGCTCGCTTGCTGATGATCTTATTCATTAACAGACTGACTACAAGTTATTAAGCAAGAAAAGACCTTCTTACAGACCAATTAACCACTAGGCAAACTGATATAAGACTGCACAGAAATGAATTGACTTACCACAACCAAAATACAGTGATGTTTGTGCAAGATTGCACAACTGACTGAATGACTGTCTGACTAAAAAGCTGATGGACTGACCTACTGACTGACTGACTGACTGACAAACTGACAGACTGACAACTGATGTACAGAATAACTGACAATTTGCATAGATGCCAACTTTTGAAAATCTGAAATCTGAAGTTGTCAAATTTGAATTTCATAACCACCCCTCTTGTTAAATTTTTTAATTGACCTCTTTTATGCAGTCTCTTTCCATTAACTAGAAGTCACTTAAATGGAGCACATAATCCTAAAAAAGAAAAACACAAATTGAACTTTCTTTAAACAGAAAACCTAATTATTTTCTTATGGACTTGAAATTTCATCCTTTATCAGTGAGATATTTCAAGAGAGTCGTCACAGGTATCACTGATGAACTGAGTGTCAATGAGTGAGTAGCTGAGGGACTGATAAACTGTCTAACTGAGTACTTAACAGATTTATCAGCTTATTGATGGCTGATTGATTTACTGACTAGAACTGCAAAACCAAACACTTGTCCTTATAACAACTTTCAATTATTCTTTGGGAAAAAAGAACCCTGCTCTCAATGTGTGGGCTTCATTACTGCAAAATCTGCCTTGCAAAGTTCATTTCTATGCTTCCTTGTTCTTATGCTTACATAAAGCTGTCAGGTTCACAAGTTTTTTATGCTTATGGTTTAGTTTTCATTATGACTGGCTTGCATTAGAAATTTATTTGCAAATAGTCTGACGCATCCCTCCACTAGCCCACTAAAACACCTAATTTCCCAACAGAGCATGCACATAGCTATAAATACTTTATAACCAAGATTGATTTTTACTTGTCAAAAGGTTCAAAACTTCTTAACAAAGCACTTGAAATTGATTGTAGGTATTATTGTATTTTTTTTTACCGAGACAACTATCAAACTCTTTTATATTACAGAACTCAAAACCTTATTTTGAGAGGGAGGCATGAAAGATTTCCTGTTTCTATCCCATGGTAAGAAGGATGCTCTTCTGCTGACTGAGTATCCCTGGATTTTTGGTAGTGGTGTGGATTTCATGAGGTAAGTATTGATATGGACAACATACAAATATTATAGTCTAGTTTTTCTAGTTTAGTCTAGTTTTTACAAATATTAAAGTCTAGTTTTGGTCCCCAAGAAAGAGGACAAACTGTTTTGGACACTGGACTGTCTTTATGTGCTGATCAGGTGTTTGACTTTGTACAAGAGATGGGTGACTGAAAGCTGACCTGCTAAGGAGTTGGTTTCACCCTACACAACTCTTCCTTAGTCTCGATCTGTGATGCGAAGACTTGGTCCCCAAAAAAGAGGATAAACTGTTTCGGCCACTGGACTGTCTTTATGCGCTGATCAGGTGTTTGACTTTGTGCAAGAGATGGGTGACTGAAAGCTGACCAGCTAAGGAGCTGGTTTCACCTTTCATAACTCTTCATTAGTCTTGATCTGTGATGCAAAGACTTGGTCCCCAAAAAAGAGGATAAACTGTTTTGGCCACTGGACTGTCACTATGCGCTGATCAGGTGTTTGACTTTGTACAAGAGATGGGTGACTGAAAGCTGACCCACTAAGGAGTTGGTTTCACCCTGCATAGCTCTTCCTTAGTCTCGATCTGTGATGCAAAGACTTGGTCCCCATAAAAGAGGATAAACTGTTTTGGACACTGGACTGTCTTTATGTGCTGATCAGGTGTTTGACTTTGTACAAGAGATGGGTGACTGAAAGCTGACTTGCTAAGGAGTTGGTTTCACCCTGCACAACTCTTCCTTAGTCTTGATCTGTGATGCAAAGACTTGGTCCCCATAAAAGAGGATAAACTGTTTTGAACACTGGACTGTCTTTATGTGCTGATCAGGTGTTTGACTTTGTACAAGAGATGGGTGACTGAAAGCTGACTTGCTAAGGAGTTGGTTTCACCCTGCACAACTCTTCCTTAGTCTTGATCTGTGATGCAAAGACTTGGTCCCCCAAAAAGAGGATAAACTGTTTCAGCCACTGGAATGTCTTTATGTGCTGATTGGGCATTTGACTTTGTACAAGAGGTGGGTGACTAAAAGCTGACCCTTTCTAGGGTCAGTGTCATAGTGTATTTTCACTGAATGCTAGCCTGAGACCAGTTTTGTCCGCGTGATGCTTTTATTTTTACCACGAGTGGGACAAACCTATTTTTCACAGTTTGTAAGAGACTTTGTCAGGATTGTTAGGACTGTTCTCATTATTATATGACCTTCTTTACCTTCCTTTTTCTTTTTGATAACACAAATTCCTGGAGGTCACACATTGGTAGGGGCCAGTGACACAACAGACGATTCTATACACTGATTGTAACGATTGCCAGCGAAAGTTGTCAGTAAAATATGGCTTTGGGCCTGTTAAGTTACTGGCAATTTCAAAAAATTGGCTCCGAGTCTGCTTTGTGAATACCGGTGAATAAAATTACCGATATCTGGTGTGCGATTGGCATATGGAGTCGTCTAGTGTATCATGTTAGGACTAAGTAAGGAGAAATCATTTGTCAGATCAGTCAGTGATGAGTAGCAGTCTTCTTGGATTGTATGTCATCATCTTTTATTCAAACTTGTTGTGACTGTTATAAGAATGATGTACCATCTCAATCTTAGGACATGCAACCTTAATCATATCCACTCACTAATTACCTGGAAGGGCTTCCCCTTCCGTTCACTTTTTAAATTAGTTCTATGAAGAAATATCCCTTTCTTAAGTCAAGGAGTGCTGTCATGGTATTTTGAATCGTGTTTTATCACTCACTCATGCCCATCATGCCGTGTGGCACGTAGGGCGGCAATCGTGTTTTATGGGGCACACAAAATTGTCTTAAACCACCCATTTGGGTAATTTAGTAGACACCAAATGTGTTCCTAAGAAAAGATAACTACAAGCGTGAATACGAGGGAAAACAATACAAAATAGATTGTGTAGTAAACTGGGTCTTTAAAAATCACCATGAAGATTCTTAGTAACCTAAGTAGGGAAAAGCATTATCCATCCAACATTGTTTTCGCACTTTACGTTGAGTTTTGACACACTCGCATTTTTTTCGTTATCCAGGTTAAAACTTAGAGTTGGTCTGAAAGAGTATATTTGCTGACGTACAGTTTACTCGGATGTAGTCTTTCACCATCAGAAACAAACTTGATAAGTTTAAACTTTAATTAAACGACAAGATTTTTTTACGTGTGGTACAGTTGAACGAAACGAATGTACAATTTAACAAAGTACTTTATGTACAGCATTAGAACTGAGTGGCCATTCGCGTCTTTATGGGGTTCAGTTAAAAACGAGTGCTTATTGGTGTCATATCGTGTATTATAATGTTGCAATGTGGCTGATTCGAAAGTCTCTCTTCATCTTTTCACAGATTTCTTGAAGAATGACTATCTCAAGAACCAAGATCAAATATGAACGTTCAACCACCCAAAGCTAAATACCAAGAAACACGATCACCTTAAGCACGAGACCAGAGACAAATATCAATCTTGGAAAGCAAAATTGGATCGACCCCAAATTCAGGGAATAAAATGAAAAAATTGGGGTTCGATCCGTTCACCATCCCCCACCCCACCTACCTTGGAAATCAAAAACGGTTCCCCGTCCATCGTTCCCCAGAAGACAGTTTCCTAACTCTTGATAAAAGTCATCTAGCTTGTGGTACAAACATTTTTTTATTAATATTATAGTATAACCTCCTAATGTAAGTAACAATCCTTTTTTACATCAATTCAGTTGCATTTTTTTAGGTACAAGAATTTAATTACCACTTCTTCAATACAGTTGTGTTTTCCCCAACCAACCTCCCCCACCACGCCCACCTCCTGTGGCAGTTTTGGTAAGTTTTTAAAAAAAGTTCTCTACCAAGTGGTAGTAACATTTAAAGGTCTTATTACGCATGTATGTTACATGATGTTGTCGCCAGAAAGTACGCAGCTCTTACAAATACTAAAAAAAAACTGCCTTTAATAGGTGGGTGTAGTGGGGGACGGTGGCGGATCGACCCCCGAGTTTTACCAATATCTCCTTTCCAATGTTCATATTTGTCCAAGCTATCAGGGTAAACGTAAATATTGGGAGAGACAAATGATTCAAATATTTCCTTCCTTTCTGCGTTGTTACTTTCTCCTGTCTTGGTATAGACTAAGCGTCTCCTCGGTGTAATTAAACTATATTAGCTTTTCTTCATCTGACAAAAAGCTAATATTTTCCTGCCTTTCATTATTGATTTCTTAGGCCCAATCTTTCCGGCTTCTTTGCTCCTCTAGCAATCTGGAGAAAGGTTAAGGATACAAATATAATCTGTACTTCTGTTTGAACGGGCTGCAAATAAACAGAGTATCATTCAACACGAAAGCTGTTTCATCGTACTGTTCAAGTATTTGAGGTTTGACAAATCACAATGTACAACTCTATCAGATTGACGAAGGCATCTCTATAGTGAAATAAAGCAAAAAGCAAACGGTGATAGATAGAAACAAAACGGAGGGTGAAACTATAAGCGAGGTGTTCTCAAATCCCTCGGGCAGCGTGAATTCTGCTTTCGGCGTGGAATTTGCGTATTTCAACTTGCGTTTGCATGTGGCTTTCTGAAATGGCTTCGCATTACTGAATTCTGTGAAGCAAATTTCCCGTATTTCTTGATAACTTGAAAAACAATTTCGGTGAATTTTAGCCCATGGAGAACCACCTGCGGAGTTGTATGACTTGAATTTGATTGATATATTTAATTTGTTTATTTGTACTACAAATAGACAGTGGCCGACTCGCTAATTGCTTGAATTGCACGACTAGGAAATAACAAGTGCAAACTAACAAATGTGCCTTATAATTTGATTTTGACGGAACAAAGAGGCGAAAACATTCCAACAAGCCATTAAAACCACACTTTGCGTTTACTTTGACACTTAATGCAGTCAAATTTTAGTTTCCCATCAGCGATAGGATCAATTTCTCAAGGTTTTAAGTTCTACTTTTACTGATTCATGTCTAGATAGGTTTCTGTAGAATATGACCATGGACTCAATAAATTGAAGAACTTTCTAACCTGTAATCGGTACATCGACATCTCAACTTGAATACTTCGATCCCCGTAGACATCATATACGATTCCTCCATAACTGTAATCTTCAACTAAAACAATGTCTACCTGAAAAAGAAAGTTCGAGTAAAACGTATTTGCAGGTGCGAGCCCGATACTGTATGTAATTTGTTTAGTACTATACAAAGACATCAAAAAACAAAATTAAACTTTAACTGAATTAAGCAGAGCCAAAGTTAACTCCATTTTGGTGCAAAAAACAGTGACAATGTAGCACAAGTACAACAAAGTTATCTAGGCATTATCTCACCAGGATAAAACTAGCAAATAAACAGGTGATGGGTATCTTTAGATGTTGTTAAAGGCAACACTACCTTATCACATAGCTACTGGCCTTTACAACAAAATAGGAATAAAAGAAACGTCTCAACTGAACGAATATTAAAGTCAGAGTTTGGCAAAAGAATATTGTCCACGAAAGGCCCTAAGGCACCTTCTTTTCCAAATACCCCCCGTTCCCCCAATAACCTTTTTGAGAGAAACCTTCAACAATTTGGAGTGGACCACACAACCTTCCTCTAACAAAAGTTCAAAACTGGCTGAAACTCTAACATTCTATACAAAATCTAACCGTAACTTCTCACTATAAGTAGAGAGTCTTTAATCAGTCTTGAGTTGTGTATGTGTTGATCAATTTGAAACTTTAACATCTCCCCCTGGAAAACCCTTTGAGCACTTGAGTCTGGTTTGTTCGAATTTCCACCCCATCCCCTGGGGGCAAAAATTGTGTTCAAATGCCCCGCCCAATTTTTTTTTTTTTTTTTTTTAACACCTATATGTAGAATTCAAGTGGACAGTGTTGACTGCTGAGTGAACAATTTAAGAGATGTGTGGAGGAAAATTCTCTCACAGATTTGACTCCCAACCCCATCCAAAAAGTTGCACCTTACAAATACAGGAAAACATCCACTGGGTAGAGGCAAAAGCACTAAAATTTCACATACTATTGGCCAAATTTCCTTATTTATAGGTATGGGAATGCGTGATAGTGAGATTACATAGTTATACATACATTCATAATTAAGCGGAAAATACAGTGCAAATAAATACCTGTTGGTGACTAGCTCTTTAGTGAAGAAATATTTGGTTTGATGTGTAAAGATGACGTCTTTATGTAACTTCAGCTCTGGCTTTTGTTTCACATGGAGCTAAAACAAAAATGGTTTGAACACAGTAAATGGGGTTGTTCTTGTTTGAGATGAAGATGGTGGAAAAAGTGTAGTGACATGAGTAACTAGTGCTTTATTAGGTTCTGACCCCATACATCTGTACAAGGATTGTAATATGTTACAAAAAGTTGCATCTTGGCCAGTGAGAACATAATGAACATTGATATAAAAATAACAATGACACAGGTTTAACTCATCCAGATAAAAAATTGTTTGAAAGCTTAAAATACTGCCATAGTCAGTTGTTGAAACAGCTGTACAGACAGGAAAAAAAAGAGGTATGTGCCATGTTTTGACAATTAACTTTTCAATCATCAACAGTGAGGCAGTATTCAGGCCCACAAGGTGTAACAGAGTCAAGACTTACTACTGAGAAATGGCCCTATACATCTTATTTTAAATTTAAGGGTTAGATATTTTTTCTCATTCATAATGGCCCTTTACAGTATCCCAGACCATCTCGGCAGTGGGAAAGGATGTTGAAACCATCAAGCAGAAATAATCATATGAAAAGGCAATAACTCATCTGGAAACCCAACTATGTTCAGTCTGTAACCATTCAGCATAAATGAATTAACAATACTACTAGTCTCTTGGTAAATTTATTGATAGATTATTCATTCAGTTGGTCAATCAGCCAGGCAACCAGCCAGGCAACCAGCCAACCAGCCACCCAGCCTGTCTGCCAGCCAGCTAGCTAGTCATTTGGTCCGTCAGTTGGTCTGTCAATAACTCAGTGCATCTGTTGGTCAGTCAGTCTGTAAGTCAGTCAAACAATCAGTCAATGAGTCAGCCAGTTGAACAGCCAGTGAGTCCATCCGTTTGTCAACCAGTCAGTAAGTCAATCAATCAGCCAGTTCACTGGTCAGAAAGTCCATCTGTTGACAAGTCAGTCTGTCCATCAGTCAGTCATTTAGTCAGCAATTTGGTCAACTAGTCAGTTGGTCAGTCAGTCAGTAAGTCAGAGCATTTGTTGGTCAGTCAGGCAATGTCAATCAGCTAATCAATCAATCAATGATTCCATCAACAAGCTTGTAAACCAGTCAGTAAGTCTATTTGTCAATCAGTTAATCATTCAGGTAGTTTTTTTTTCTGTTCATTGATCAGTCAGTCAGTCTGTCAATCATTTATAACATCATGTTACATTGCAGGAGAATGAAACAATACAATTTTCATGAGCTCAAAGAAGACACCAATTCTGTCACTTCATTGGTTGACTAAGTTGACCCACTTGTATTCACCCTTACACACCAAAAACTATAAGTCAAGATCAACCAACATTTCTGCTCTAACCTTAAGGAGTTATGACTGTCTAGGACTGTCCAGCAGCAAACTGTTAACAGCCGAGTTAAGCTCAGAGCTTAATGCATAAATATCCTGAAATAATTAACATTGAATAACAGCAGAGAGGTCCATGTTGGTAAAAACTCTGCCCAAGATCTTGAGTACTGCCTGATGCCATAGGCTGAGGGCACAGTTTTTCTCAATACAGACCAACCTAGGCTGGCAAACAACACTTTTATTTTTTTCCTAAAACTTAATGAAATTCTTTATTTATGGCTGTAAATTAGGCAAGATCCTCCATAAACTGAACAATTTTTGAACAAGTGATAGGTAGTTGAAACAGAACTAACTAATGCAAATGAAAGAGAGAGGCTTCACCATAACATTTTTATTTGTGTAATGAAAAGGTTGATCTAAAAGGCTTCCAAACAAACTTTGAAACAATTTTTTAACAAGTATCAGTCATGATCTGACACCTGTCAATTAGAGAGCACGTAAGAAAAAAAAAAGGCACATGTACATGTTTGAAAAAATAACAGCACTGGTTTGGCAAACAAACTCAAGTTCAATGACTGTCTTGTTAATATCTAACGAGAGTAAGGAATTCAAAATTCAAAATTCAAAATTCAAATCCAAAATTCTGTAGACCTCTCAATCAGTTTTAAAACGATCCTGTGGGGAGAGACTGGGGAGAAAATGTAATTTTTGCAGAAGATACATTGTGAATTATAAAATAATTCAAATAGTACGCTTGCTCTGATTGGTCATAAAACCATTTTACACAAGCATGTGTAAACATGGTTTTTGTTCCTCTTTCATTAGTTATTTTATAAAAGAAATGTAAAATGGTTTCCGTGTTTACATAGCCTGATGTAAACACATGGGAGGTTCGGAGAACACGAGATAAGCGTAGGAAACCACAACGCAAAGCGAAGTGGTTTCCAGCTTATCGAAAACACAGTAACCATTTAACATTTCTTCAATATTGTACATTGTAAGTACCAAATAGCTCAAGTTGGATGCTCAACCTTTCAAAGTGAGTAAGGTTCTAAATGCAATGCTCTTAAGCTGCCCTTCAAGCAGTAAGGTATGTCTTCCAGTTACACCTAGCTTATTATTAATCCATCTTTTGGCATGAAATGACACAAAATCTTCCATGTGTAAGAGCACAAGTGTCAACATGATCTAATATTTTACTGCACAAGAGAATACTGTGATTTACAAACTTATCATGTGTTTTCTCAACATCCTGCATGAATTGCTACACTAGTAAATGGATATAAAGTCCAGTCTACTAATTAAATAATCCATACTCATAGTTTCCTTTTTTTGTTGGAACATTTGAGCACTCAGCAACCACTAACATTTCTTAATCAACATTTCAGTGAAGAATATAGAGACCTCACATTACTTCCAGATTAAACTGACTTGGAATCCAACTAGGCTTTACTACTAATACTGTTTGGAAGCTGGTGAGTGCATTGCCATGTTATTTGTCACACAAACTTTATAATTTTTTAATAATTAAAAGCCATATTTTGGTCTGAGCACAGAAAACATTTGGGTAAAGAACATAAACAAATTGAAAATACAAGACCACATTTTCAGAAAATTGTTAAAATAATACTTTGTAACTAGTATGACGTAGCATTTCATCTTAGCCAAGAGAAAAATCAGATATGTTTTGAACATTTCAAGCAAACTCGTTAAGCATGGCACTCAAAATCCTGTTTGCAAATTCAAGATGTTAGCATTCAATTCACATTGTTACTAACTTGCTCCATTCTAATCTTTAAGACAATCAATTCATGCTTTAACACTTTGATTAAACATGTTATTCTCTGCTTCCCCTAATAAGTTTGCTTTTTTCCCCAAATTCATGCTACTGTCTTTTTACATATACTTGGGGGGGGTGGGACAAAGGTGTAAATTTTTGCCTGAGCACATTGAGTAATCAATATATTTATCAAAATGAGGTCTGTTGTCATAGGCCCTATGCTAAAATGATCTAAGTAGTTTTCCTTCTTCTCACTCCATCAATGATCAAAATATATAAATGACTGTAAATACCGGTACATGAAAATTATTTATGTGAACTTCAATTGAAGAAATGAATATGGAAGCAATCCTTGCAGTTATGAACACTACTTAGGAAGTGGTGAAAATAAAGCCCATTGGCTCATTTGGTAGAGAACTGCATCAGTATCACAGAGGTCATGGGTTCAAATCCTGTATGAACCTGAATATTTTTCAGGCCTTATTTACACTACTACTTAAGTAGTGTTCATAACTACGAGGATCGCTTCTATATTTGATCAAAATACATCTTAGTAGACCTTAAAGACATAGAGCAAACATACAGAGGAATACATAGTTGGAAAAAAGAGGGCTCCAAAGTCTTGAAATTGAATACCAACTGGAGAATTAATGTTGAAATACCAACACAGTTCATAATAATTATCTAGCATGGAATTAAATAAATAAGGTCGCCATTTTGGGCCCGTTAATTCCACATTATTTCACAAAACGTTACTTTTTTTGTGCAACACTTAGGTAAACAGAGGATAAGATAAACATGAACTAGACTACGTTCACACAAAAAATTTATCACATCGTATATAAGAATATGCAATTTTAAAACTGTCAGAAAATTTTATATTATTTTGTCAGCACTTTTAAATTTCCCGCAAAATACTGAGAACTATTTGTACTTATACTGGTGGAATGTCAAAATGATCCGATTAAATTACAAGCTTATTCAATAACTTAAAAGAACAGGGAGCAGAAATAAATTGAAACAACATGCTCATCAACCAGTCTTTTTGTTTATGTTTTTCACTAACCTCAGCAGTTGATCTACATGTCACACGTGGTTTCCATTTCAGAGTATTAAAACCGCTGAGACGTCATTTTTTCCATCCAAACACCATCTGAAAAGAGCTGTCGTATATTATTAGGCAAGTGAGGATTGTGGTACCGTTTTTGCTCATCTTTTGGTCTCAAAATAGGCAGTTCATGTCGCAGTTCAGAACACCACAGTTGAACACTCAAGCTATAGGCCGTCATGATGGCACAACATAGCGGTCAATTGTAAGGCATGCGCAAGGGCGTTAATTTTGGCCAGCCTCACACCAATTTCCCGCGCAGAATGAGTAAATATTATTGTTCCCAGTTTTTTTGACTGAGAGAGCACATATCTCACGCAACACGCGCAGTAACACGCTTTTGGCGAGCAGCAAAAAATCGCCAAGACTGTCATTTAAAAATAAAATTCTAATCCTGTAAACGTGTATTGAAAGATAGATGGTAGAATAGAGAGGGATAGTGAAAGTATGCTCTTGACATTTATTATACTATAGCAGGAGCCCCTGACTACAGCCTATTCCAATTACCGAGGAAGTGTGTATATGTACATACCTTGGGTTTCCGCAGGAACTCATCAAGTAATGGGTTCCTGGTTTCCGTTATCTATGGATGTTTCTAAAGATAGAGAATTACTGCGTAGACGCAACATTTCGAAGAATTTTTTTTAGAGTAAAAAATAATGAAGGAATATGGACGTAAATTGATTGATACTAGCGCCTCGTGTCTAGTGGTATTAGCTCCTGAGCGTCCTCAAAGGCTTGGACCTGCCTGAGAAAGAGGTCGATCAGAATTTATCCAAACTCGGGCACCTGGGGTGGATTGGAGTAAAACAGAAATATACACTAATCTAATAACCGACAGTTGGTCAGTCACTCACGTGCAGCCGTACCCATCGAAACCCAGTGGTGAGTGAACACTGTTACATGGCCACAAGTACGTCCCGGAGACCTTCACGATCATCACCGTACAGGGAAAGATGGTAAAATATAAATTTTTGCACCTTCTTCTAAGGTTTAATCCTCTAAGGCTTTTACCAGTCGCCCTGAATCCGAGCGACTCTGCCACCCAGTGTACCTAAGATTGGTCACTCGGTGGAATTAGAGGAATCAAGGATGGTCGAAGGCTAGAAACATCTCAATGAAAATTCTCAATCCCTGAGGATTTGGCTTACATTGCGATATAATTGTCTGTTAGTTTTCCCGTGAACCAAATTTGTAAAATTTACGAAAGACAACACGAAGGAAACTAACCACATACAAGTTGAGTGTCATGCAATCAAGTTGTTTAGATGTTCATACGAATTGTGTGTAACTCATGAGCATGGTGGGCAGCCAGATTCAGTATTCAACAAAACGTAAAACAACGCAAGATTTAATTCTCAACGCTACGATAAAAGTTTACAGTGTTAAGATATAAAGCTATATTTCGGTTGCACGTGCATTTTTGATGTGTACATAGCGCCCTAAAATGGAAAAATCATTACATGCCGTCGTTTATTGAAAATACTTCGCCACAGAAAAAATCTTCGAGCCTGAGAATAGCTGCGATTTGGAACAACACTACTTGTTGCATGATCAAAACTAAACACAAATATCAATTTAAGAGTTCTTCAACTTCCTCCTACTTTCTGTGCAGGAACACTGCCTAAGGCTTGTGCTAAGAGAGGTGAACAGAGCTAGAGGCCAAACTAAATCTAAAAAAACGCATTATTGAACTTGGAAGTGTTGCAACAATTCTTGGAATATAATTCCTTTTCTATCTCAAGTCTTTTAAATCGAGCACATAGTGAGAACAACTTAGTTTGGACTTGGTGAGCGGCTTTGTCCACCCTGTTCTTCTTCTTTATCGCTGAACTCTGCTGCTGGAGAGCCTGAGCGTGACCGTGAAGCTGCTGATCGTGCGGGAGATGGCGAGCGTGATCTCGAGCGAGATCGTGATCGCTCTCGTTCTTTCTCTCTTTTGCTGTCACGGTGACTGTCTCGGCTTCTTTCGCTACGGCTGCTGCGTTCACGGCGTTTGGGAGAACGTGATTTAGAACGGGAGTGAGATCGACGGCGACGACGTCTGAAGAAAAGAAACAATCATGAATGTGATCATGAACTGTACTAATACTGGAAATTTTGAAACGAATCGTCTGCTTAGAACTACATCTGAAAACTCCAAGGACGTGGAAAGATGTCGGTCTTCCGTCTTATTTTTACTCCCATTGTAACAGCACAACTTCTAGAACAAAATATTTTAATCCTTCTGAGGATGCATCCACTCGCTAGGTTTTCCCAGCGAGAGAAGAATTGAAACGCTTGAACGTGCACAAAACAGGAGTCGATATGTACGCCAGCTGGGTTAGGTGCGATGAGGAGCAACTGCAGTCACATGCTAACACATACAAAAAACTAAGGGACTAAAGACGGTACTTTAGGGGACTTAGTGGCTACACAGACATATGTTTCTTAGCTTTGAAATAACAAAAACTCACCTTGGACTGCGACTGCGGGAGCGACGACTGAAAAAAAAAAATTCAAAATCTACTTATGATCTAAAAAGGAGAATTCCATTACCTGTAATTAAATCAGAGTTTAGTGGGCCCAAACACCAACTACAATCAAACTCAGTAGGGTCAAACTAAAACAAACTAAACAGCAAATCAAATTTGGTGTTAACAGTAAAATGGAATTGCCATGGTTCCATTGCATTACTCACTGGAGTAGGTCACTTGAAAAGAAACCTTTCAAAATCCTCCACACAAATCAGATGGCAATCTAATGTTGCTTGAATTATGAACACTTTCACAAGTATGAGCTACTTCTCATGTACATCCTTTGAATCTTAGTACTTCCTTGCACTATTGACCTCTAATGTGATGGTCTGTATTTTTCATATTGGTTTGGGTTTTAAGACACCCAATCATGAGATACTCTAACTTTGTTAGTAGAAATTAAAAGCAATGTTTCACCTATAAGAATCATCCTGATAATCTCTCCTGCTGCTGTAACCACCACCACCACCACCATAGGCTTCCCTTTTTTCTTTGCCGCGCATCTGTTGTGGGGCTAAACAAAAGAAATAATTTGCAGTTAGATCATATTGAGAGCAGGTGAAAACGCAATAAAACAGAAGACTCAGACTCAAGTCACAAAATCCATACCAGTTAAGGTATAAATGCCCAATTACAAGGATGAAATTATAAAATGCATCTTTAAAGAAAAGAGATTGGTTTCTTGCATCGCAATGATGAAGTTAAGAGGAATTAAAATATTTACACAACTAAGGGTGGCTCTGCTTATTTAATTATTTGAGCCTCAAGTGCTAAACATCAAAAAATTGGACATGACAACAAAGTGATCTTGTTTAATTTCTAGTTCATTCTCTATCTGTTAAGAAACTTTACAGGACTCAGTGCTTGTCCATGAAAACATTGGGGAGGAGAGGTGCCACTATGCATAGGAGCTTATTTTCAATTCTGACTGACAAGTGAGATGCTTTTGAAAGAAGGCTGGCTTCAGGTGAGGTGTTAATTCCAAAAGTATCAAAGCTTTAACTTATTTTGATGTTGAATGTGTTCATGTCTCATAAAGTGCCTTACTCTTTCTGTCTCCTTCTGCAAACTGAACTTCCAATTCCCTTCCAAGCAAAACAACCCTGTCCAAGTAGTAATGGGCATCTTCTGCATCACGGATATCTTCAAATGTATCATTAGTTAAGGCTTGATTTCCCCTTTTCCAAGCTTGACCTGAACCAGAAGCTTGAAGGTGCTGTCACCACTGAAGTACACTTGAACACAATGATACTTTATGCTGATACGTCACACTCTTTAATTACCTTCCCTTGCATTTCTGGAGCAGATTTGACAATAGCATAAAACATGCCACACTCAAATGACCCTAAGTAATGCTTTACATATAATTGTAAGCAAAGTTACTTGTGATACATTTCTTCCACATTTCTAACAAGGCTAAACTCTATTCTGATTTTCCCACTAACATATTCATTAAGAGCAATTTTTCACTGATTTTCAAAAGTTAATCTAGATTGATTTGGTTTGGTTCACTTCATCATGTGATTGGTCCAGAAAACTTATGCCACCCTCTCCACCATTGAGATTCAAAATTAAAACCAATTGCAACTAGTTCACCAATGTTTTTCCAACTTTGAATAGTTTGCTGGTTTCTTCTTTGCATTCTCGTTGGCTTTTGTGATAATTTCCTTTACTGTGATTAATTATTAGTTATGATTCATTATTTTGATTTGGTTTTACAATATTCTATTAAGGTGTCATAGCAGGTTGACTAATGCTGTTAAGGGCATTTTGCTATTAAGCAGGTAGTTTGAAAGAAAATTCCGACCTTTACATTCCTGAAGGCTAAATACAATCATATCTTGAGAAAATGAAACTCTTCAAAAGTTAATATCAGAGGAACGTTAAAGGAAAAAGCCACAAAATCTTTTACAAGCAATGCTAGCTAGATAAAGGCCCTCCAAGGGGTAGTTGTGTCACCATGTTGCACCTATTTTTGCTTTCTATTTGAACAAAGGTCACTTTTCCTTGGCATATCTCTTGTTCCGGCAGAATAACATAGCTAATTGTTTGATATCAAGTGAAGCGTTTCCTACCCCTCCTTTTCCAAGCTCCTTGTAATAAATACCTTATTCTAAGGGATATACCCTATCTAAAACAGACACTGAAGCTCCATATCACCATGAATTACTTACAGTATTTGTTGTTATTCTTTCGAAAACTTGGTACTTGATAACCGAAATGCCAGTCTTGATGAAAAATAATTGCTTGGAATGTCATTTTGTCGCCTTTCTTTGCACCTTGTTAAACTTTAAAGATTTTGATCATCAAACTCTCTGATACATTACTTAAAGACTTGTCTGTGTACCAAGCTTGCAAGTCCGACAAATTTGAACTTTCTAGGCGCCTTTTATCTGTGGTTGAAAAGGAAACCATCATGATGACTCTGTTTGCCTTTCAATTGCCCTGCAACTTGTGCAACACACTTTGATCAGCAGGCCAACCACATTCTTTCTTTTGACTTGACTTTAAGATTCTTTTACATGCCTACACCTTTTCTTTGTTGTTGCTGATGATCTTTTATACTTGGTAGCACTACTACTTAATTCCTGAAAAAAATTTTAAGCTTTAGAATGGACAGGAGTTTCTGGATACGATAAAAACAGCAATGGTGATGGCAAGTTAATGCTTGGTTCTAATACTTACATCTAAAAATTTCATTCTTTGCAGAATTGGCTCCACTTTTAACACCACTGCTCTTAACTCGACAAGCCCTTGAAACCTTTCTTTGCCTTTTTCGCGCCTGGGCTCGCCGTAGCTTGACAATTTACTCTTTTTAACTTCATCTTTTGAATAATCATATCTCTTTGCTTTGTCTTTACAAGCTTTCATTCCTGTTACTTGGACTTTTTACTTTCGTTCCCACTTTGGATTAGCTTGGGCTTTAAAATCTTTACCGATTTAGCAGACTTTTTCTTGAGGACTTTCGCTTTCGCTCTCTCTCTAGTCCTGACTACCAAAAGTACAATGAGATAATTCAGTTATTACGAATAATACCAAAGAAAAGAAACTCAGAGATAGAAAGAAACTTGACGAATAACAAGTCACAACATACAGAAAAGGATATTGTACGTAGGCAAAGCCTCGAGACTCCCTCGTGTAGTAATCTAGGGGAATGTACACGTCGGTGATGCGTCCATACTTCCCGAACATACGTCGAAGGTCTTCGGGTCTGTGAAAAGAAATCCATAGCGTTACGTGGATTTCGAAAATAATAGAGGTTATACTGTGTCTCTTATGAGTCTTACCTCGTATCATGGTGTAAATTTCTCACGTAAAGTGAACTGTTTGGCGGTCTTGAGTAACGACTCGACATTTTGCGAACTGAAATCCACGCGACAAAGCTAAATTATGGGATGGTGTTAAAGACATCTGCACTATTTTCGGTCATCGGTCTCGCTCACTAACCTAATTTGGCTTCGGTCACCTTATTTGGAAAGCAAGCTTCTTTTCGTCGCTTGGCGCGAAATTCATTTCACAAAGCGCCTAAACTCTCGACTGACTTACAACCACTTTTTCAGTGAATCGATGTTCAAGAAATAATTAGTCCCTCAAACAATATGGACGCAAAGTCTCCTACATTCCAGCAAAACAAGAAATCGCGTCCTGACAGCAGAGAAAGTGAACGAAGTTCGAGAGATTCTCGTGAAATGTACAGGTCAGGGAACTTCCGAAAGACACAGAAGCGTGACAATCACAGGTATTCTTTTTAATCTTTCCTTGCTTTATTCCAGTTTGCTTGATTCGTTGATCGACAGGTTTAAAATAAGAACGTAATTATAAGGTTCTATTGAGCGATACGACTCAGATAATTTCAAGATCGTAAGTATTATGAGTCTAACTGTTCTAAGGATTTCCCGCCATAATAGAATAGGGTAGATTTCTGTGTGAGATGATGTTTTGCTTCGCGATGTGCGAACCAGATTAAAGACCAAAATCAACCTGACTTGTTCTATTTAAACTTTCATCATTTTCATTTCATGCTCTCACGATGTTGCTGACTATACTTAAACCGCAATGCAAGGCATACATAAATATTCGCTTTAAACACACCTGTGTAAACGGAGGATCGATGGCGTTCTCAAATTTAGTAGAAGGGTGTTATGAATAAGATATGCACGCGTTTATAGAAATCCTTTTATTTCGAAAGGAGAAAGAGGGAAATACCAGAGAGTCAGTGCATATCACTGTTTCCTTCGGTGAAGAACAACTCTGATGAAAACATCTCGGATGTAAACACCCCTCAAAACGAAAGAAATAAATGGGCTAAAACTGCAAGCAGCAAACAGACACCCCCCAACAGATCACATCTTAAAATTCAGGACCTCTCCAAAGAATTCCCTCCTCTTGGAGTTTCGAGGTAAATATTCATGTTATCTGTTTTTGTACCAATCAAAGTCTTCTTACTGGCCCTCCGTGAGATAACAAAGGGCAGTTTTGCTTCTCTTTGAAGGTAGAATGCGATTCTATGCCAAAATTTTGTAAAGATTTCCTGATGGTTTTCTGAAATTCATTTATATGCCAGGGTTGAGAGAAATACTGTAATGTTTATAAACACACAGCATAGTGATGTAGACCCTGGCCGAGGCTCAAATTTGGACCTCTTGATCAGAAATATAGAACGTTAACAACTAAGAGATAAGTGATCCAAGATCACCTGCTTTAGAGAGCTATTTTTAATTAAGTATCAAAAAAACCAAGTCAACCCAAGTGACCAATCAGAACCAAGGTTAACATTATCACTAGCCAATGAGAACTGAAAGTGTTGGAGCACTGGAAAATGCAAATGAATTAGTTCCAATTATTTTAAGATTCACATAAGGTGGTCAAGAGGATGGCAGAATTTTTCTAGACCAATTACAGAGCAAGGTTAAGTAAAACCAAAACATTATCCTGGTTTACTCTGGAAACTCAATTGAGAATTGCCCTAACACATTGAAGAAGCTTATGAATCATAACTCTGAGCAAATTCACCAGGTGATGAACTTGTATCACCAATGCAGATCTGGATTGCTTCCAAAAGAATTCACCTTCTAAGTACATGAATGAGTTTGTAATACTGAAAGTACTATGTAAATAATTATCCTTCAGTTATACTCCTGAGTTGACAAAGGACTGGGGAAGTATAGTTGACGAAGAGGAAGAAGGGAAAAGAGACCCAGTGAAAAAGAGAACAAATTTAAGGTATGTTTTTTTTTTTCTTCTTTAAAGTTAAACAAATCGATTCAACTCACCTGTAAAGTAATAATTGTGGGTAATTTTATAGGAATAATACCTTTCACAGTGCAACCATGTTTTAATAAAAACACCCTGGGTCTGAATATGTAAATGTTGAGGCTCTAACTCGCTGTGGGGCACTAATAATTGGCTGTAATAGTAAGGTTGTGGACCAGTTGCTCAGGAAATTACAATGAAGAAGACACTCCATGAGCAGGCGACGACATTTTTTACCCACCCTTTCCCCCACAAATCACAGCAGGAATAAGCTGCCTCTAAAATATGCTATGAAAATGTTTTTTGTTGTTAATGATGACCACAATGGTCAACTTTTGTTTAAAAAAGGTGAATAAAGGAAAAGAGTCTTACCCTTTGTGCTGTCAAGTTACTGAGCTCTTCTTTTGCCTTGCCACAAAAAAAATGCACAATGTACAGTGTGAGCGATAGGTAAATGCCAAATGATGACAGCGAAGTGCAAGAGACATGGAAATGTGACTTTGCCTTCTCATAAGTTCATTCATCTTTCTCTTCCATTGTGTGTGTGTGTGTGTGTTTGCTCCTCCGTACTTATCCAGTCATTTATCATCACCACATCACTGCAATAACTGTCTGATCTTTTAACATTTGTGAGCCACAGCACTTGTCCATTGTGTTGCTAACCACTGAACAGGCAGATATTAACTTAGCTGTTCTTAAAGGACTAGTAAGATTCTTCAAGAATTAAATCTTGCTTTCATAAGAACATCACATTTGGCAGAATGTCACATTTAACCATGAGATGATCACAAACAATTGCTGGCTGATGGCTAAGAAGCAAAGCTTCACAAATTGTAGACTTCTTAAGACCCATCACCCAAAACTAATGTATTACTTCAAATAATTGAGATATCCCTCAAAGATGAGGGTGTAAAATTAAAAAAATTTCTGATGAAGAAATCTGTGACAAATAGAGTAAAGGTTTTCAGGATCTTATTTTTCTGTTCAACTTTTCTTGGGCAATGTACATTTTTTTCCTCTGGAGACAGTCATTTCTTTTCATTTTTTTTAATTGTTTAGGCCTTCAGAGAAGCCAAACAGTGTAGGAAAACTTTACCAATGACAAGGAAATATTCCACCAGAATTAGAAATGTGTGATATAGTAAAAATTCTGGCTTAGAACTTGTATTATTACGCGTCAGTTATTGATATCCAAGACAGAGATGTATCCAACACTTAAATATCATTATCTAGTGCATCATAAAATGCTTTCTGGAGAACTTAACTGTACTAAGCAAAATTAATTGAAACTTGCAGATTTAAAAGAAAACTGCTGCTCTCAGAGTCTAGGGATGAAAATTTAAAATCTCTAAGCCAGAAACCTGTCTTGACTGATCCACATAAACTGCTCCAAAGACAAAAACAAATTGACATTGGAAAGAACACCTTGTCCTATGGACGTTACACAGCTGCAGTGCCAAGGTAATTACTAGCATGCAATGGTAGTCTTACCATCCTCCACAATGTTGAGAATGGCTGTTTTTTTAACTGTTGTAAGTATATAGTGGAGCTTGCATAGCCCCATAATTATACAAAATAGTGGTAACCCATCAAGCCGAAAAAATTTGGATGTATGACCATATGACTGTACGACTGATCATACAAGGTGCTACTTTTAGCATGTGCGGCCAACTGTACCATGGGCATTGTCTTATGATCAATCCTCTACACGGACATGGAGAAGTTGTGAATGAAAATCCATTAATATTACCATGCACTTTATCCATAGTAGGGGCTTTAGTTCTGTTGAAGAGACGTGCAGGAAAAAAAAATGCAAGCTCCGCTTTTAGGCTTGCCTAAATCTATATATTATCACTTGTTGAACCAATACCCTTAAAGATTAATTCAAGTACTATTCTATTACAGCTGAGATCACCAGAAAAATGACCAACGTAATTAAACTTGAATTTTTGTAAGTTTACACTTAGCAAAAATGATAAGTCTCTTATGTGCACTTCCTATTGAATAAAACTTTCAGAGAACAACGGACGAAAGAAGACCCCAATACACCAGACAAATTTCAAATATGCAGCACTCGATCTTGGGTTGGTCAGGTGAAGCTTTGGCGTCGAAAACTTCACATCTGGGACCCACCATCTGAAGGAAAAGAGGATTTGTTCTCTTTGTCTTCACAGAGGTAGGGACACACATTTAGTAGGCAAAGAGTGGTTTGAAGCATTACTCTCATCAACCCCTTAACTTTCAGAAGGGATCAACATACAATTTCTCCTTGTAATATCCATACATTATCCAAAAAACAGGTAATGAGAATACTCAAACTTTTTAGGAAGACATGTTCTTGATTTAACACAAATTCATGTTACTAATTTACATGTAAAAGTGTCATAGCTAGGAGGGAAAATTAACAATTAGCTCTTGAGAGTTTAACCCTTTCACTCCCAAGATCTAATTAGTAATTCTCCTTACTATCTGCCATACAATTCTTATGATGTTAGTTCAGAGAATTTGGTATTGGATCAACTAATAATCCCATGATTGATATTCTTCTCTATTCTCATCACCTGCCTGCTTGATATTGTATTGATATTGTGAGGAGAAATTCTGTCTTGGTCACTTGTGGGAGTGAAAGGGTTAAGGGTTGACTAAAGGAGAGCTGTCTGTATGGAATTGATTCTTTTGAACCAATGTACATGTGACCAAAATGTTTTGTGATTACAGTAAGTGTTCTTCAAGTAATCAACATTTAACATTGCTAGTTTTTGTCATTGAGTGTTAATTATTGGTTGAAAATGTTTTAATTCAACAGCAGTATTCAGTCATTCCCTTGTGAGGGTAAGATGGAAGTGGATAGTTATAATGGTGATGCTGATGATGACATGATGTCAACATCCACCCCAAGTAGTATTGATGATGTGTTTGGTGACTTTGATCTTGATGCCTGTTTGATGAATGATGGCTTGCCATTATAATTTTGAGAATATACCTATTCCATTTTTCATTAAAGAAATTTTTTAGACTCAAGATTTTAAGTAATTAGTGTTAAAAGAACTTTGAGATTTGCATAGATTTCAAAAGGCATGGGTCAAACTTTTATTCAGTTCTGATAGGTTTATACAAATTTCTCAAATGAACTGTTTCAAAAGTTTTAAAAAACTATTGCAAAGTTCAAACTGTGGTTTATGATTTGACCCTTTTTAGATAAGTTGAATTTCAGATTTTATTTATTAGAGAAGTTCAGCTTTTTTGGCCTTTTGGTAGCATTTCTGATGTGAAAAAACCAAGGCCACTCTTACTCCTCTGCTGAAAGAAGAATATTCATGTATGTACTAGAAATTTTGATGGAGCACTTAAATAAAGTGATTGACAATCATTGAATGGGTTGGGGAATACTCATGTAGTGTACTTGGAGATATATTTTTTCTTTTCTGGTAACTGATCATGAAATTAACAATAAGACTTCAGGAGGAAATTATATTTTTTGCTTATTTTTTTATCCAGGTAAATTATAGTTCTAAACTTCTTTACTTGTTTATTGATTTCCATTGAGCCTTTTTCTCAAATACAGAAACCTATATTTCAACTAACATATTTTTAATCCTTTTATTCATAAAATCTAATTGTTAATTCTATCCTCTAACTTCTACACATTTCCTTGTATGTTGGTTACAAGAATGTGATGTTAGATCAAGATAACTTCAACCCCATAAGTTTGAACAGTCTTATTACTGTTTGCCTGGGTAATGTTGGATATTATATCGGCAAGTTAAACGTTAACCACTTCAAGAAATTAAAGGTTAAAATATACTTAATTTTCTTAGATGGAGGTTTTCAAAAGTAAGAAATAATGACAGCAATAGATGCAATGTACTACACAATTACTTGAATAATTGTTGTAATTTGGATTACTCATTGCAGAGAGACACCATTATTACTGTTATTCCCTTTGCACTGTACTGTCATCACATTGTTTAACGCCTGTTTTCATCATTGATGCCAGTTTTTGGCAAAAGGAATCAAACAAGATAAAATAATTCATCTCACAACTTGTCATAAAAGTTATCTTTATTTGTTATTGCTGTTTCATGTACATTGACCTTTCATGGCTGCCATTTTTCAAATTCCTTTTAATAAAATCAGTAATGCAACTTTTGCTCAGTATATTGCTCTCAACTTTTGTTTACTTTCACAGCCACATTCATCCCCATGCACATGGTAACTTATACTTTTTTGTACAAAACAGCAGAATATATCTATATGTATGTGACATTACTTTATAAAAATTATTTTTTTCCCACTTTTAGTTTTCATACCTAGCATGTCTTACTCAATGGCCATTCTTTATTTACAAATTGCTTTGGTATGAGAGGGTTTCTGTTTTGAAACAGAATGAGCAAAGTACAATTCTCTGTTTATCACAGGTAACAAAATAATATGAGATAGTAAAATGTTCATATTTTGGGAAGGTAAATAGGTGTTGCTCCATTTAAAGTAACTCTTTAGAACACTAAAAATACAAAACAATTACACTGAGGCTAATTATGATAGAGGTCAGATAAATTACACTCAAAACTTTGAGATTTACTTAGGCTGAGGTCAAAATTTAACTAGACTTAAGGTGCAAGCTTTAAAAGCAAATTTTAATTCTCACAGTGCCCAGGCAACCATGCATAGCAAGAACTTGAATAGTAACAAGCCATCTGTTGACATGTCTTTGCCTACTAGCCAAAGTAATGAAAAGTGAGACAGCATTTCCAATGTGTTGCCTGGAAACTTCATGAAAGTCAGAGAAAAAGAGAGGTTAAGATGTGTATGTTCATTATGTACAATACTTCTTCCAGCATTATGCTCAATGGTCACAATCAAGCCCAATTAATTTATCTGACCTTGGTTTTAATATCTTTTGTGTAATACGAAAGTTGTGCAAGTTTTCTATTCCATCAAAATTGTAATGAGATACCTTACCATGATTAAAAACCAAAAAATTGAACTGTTCTCTTCAAAACTACTTAAATGGAACAACAGGTGAACCATGGACTTCATTTACCAAAATGAATACATGCAAGCAGAGAAGAGAAACCCACCTATACTCAATTGATCTGAAAAGTTCCTAAATCCAAAAAACAGAATTGCTTATTCTCATAAGGAAAAATAGGTTTCTCAATATACTCCTTAGGACAGAGAAATTCTTAGATCATTAAGGTCAAGAGATTGAAAACAAAAACTGTTTCATCACTTCTTAGCAGCATCAAGCTAACACATAGTTTTTACCAATCTGCATTTCCACTGACATGTTCAAAATATGGGTCACAAAGCCATGTATTTGGCAGTAAGAGATATGACTGACCTGTGTAGTTTCAATTCAAAAATGAAGTATTGACTATGTAGCATAAAGCAAGAAAAATTTCCAGATAAAATTCCTTTTCGTTCTGCACCAACGAATTTCAATGTTTTGCATAAATGCTTCACTTTTTCTCAGATGACTTTCTCCCTAGAATTTAAAGGGTTGGAGTATTCCATAAGCTAAAAATAAATTGTTTTATTTCCTTGTATTGGTATAAAGGGCTCAACATCATGATAGCCACAATGTTTACAACTGTTCCTATGTCAGCATAAGCTGGTTATCTCAATTTTGTCTCAACACTTCCAAATATATAGCATTTTTTCAAAGTCTGCATTATTGCACCTTTCATTCATGGAACACATTGCGGTTACATAGCAATTAAGATTTTATAGCTTTTTACAATTGAAGGCCTTTCAATGTTAAGCCATCTTTCTTGACCCCAAATTTTATTGCAGCTGCTACCTCTTTTGTTCTTCATTAAGGGTACATCACCCTTAAATCCATTTTTCAACTCTTCACTTTAATCTGTATTGACATTAACCTCTGCTCGGCAAATGGGACATGTTCTGTTTGACTACAAAATAAATACAAATAAATTCAATAATCATATTATCAGCTATCAACCTAAATGGATGAAAAAATTTTAAGATGCACAGTCTAACCATTACTTAATGTCCTTTTTATTCATTGTTTAATAATATTTACAGTCATACAATTCCAACTAACTACAGATTACTTTTGGTCTGCTTTAGACTCCTTTAAAAGGGGTGGGAAGTCACTTCCTCGAGTTAAATTAGACAGGTGTTATCCCTTTTTTCCCCTTATTGTTTAAAGCAAACTAAAATATTTCTCAACTGTTTTGCTACAAATAAAGATTGGTCAAATCCTGCTCCATGATTCAATTCAATACCATAGTTAATATTGCTTTAATTGATCCCAATGGTTACAATTAAAAGTCAATTAATTTTTTATATTTCAAAATTTCAAGTAAATTGCAATCTTTCAATCCATCTGATGAAAAGAATTACCACAAATGTTACTTGCATGAAATTTAAAACCCTGGCCCAAAACCTTGAAATAGACCTTAATTTATAATCCTTGGAAATCAAAACTGCTCTTACCTTAAGCCATTTGTCAATACATCTTGTGTGATACTCATGCAAACAAGGCAATACTCTGACAAGCTGTTTCTCTTCGAAGTCTACCAAGCAAACCACGCATCGTTTTTCCTCAGCTTCTTCCTTTGCTCCTGCTGTTACACGGTATGTGGGAAGCTGATCGATTTCAACACGTGACAATCCTTTAGGTTTTACCTCTCCCATTTGCTCTGCAAAGTTAAGGAGGGTCTGCAAGAAATGTCAAGAAATTTTAACAATCATGAAGAAGCACTTAATAGCTGGCAGTTTCCTCTTAAATTAAAACTTACCTCATAGTTTTCACGTGGATGAAGTTCTTCTTCCCATGCAGCAGGAGTTGGCTGTGTTGCTAACTGCTGTATGGACATCACAGATATTAAATGATAGAGTAAATCAGGGTATGGATGTACACCAGAGTGCACAGGAGGAGGGGGTGGTGGTGGAGGTGTGCGGTGAGCACGCCGGGAAGGCCAACCTGGATGAGATGTGTTGTTGTGGTGCCATCTTCGGTAGTGTCTGTAGTGCTAATAGAGACAAGAACAAAAATGGATGTCTTAGACCTGATTCACAAATTCCACAACTGAATATATGGTCTCTATTTATAGAAGGGATGGAGATGTGGTAATCCTGGAGTAAGATATAAAATAACACACTACTCAGGGCCCTCCCTATTTTATTGATTACTTATTTTAATACACTACAAAACTCACTATATCCTTGAAGATTAGAAACTCCACAGAACTGATGAAAAGAACGCAGTTCCATATGTTGGGTTAAATGATATCTTACCATACTTCCAGGTGTAGGGTATGGGTGGTATGCCTGTGGCTGTGGAACTTGGTAAGGAGGCTGCACGATATGATGATGGTGGTGGTGGTGATGGTGGTGATAATGATGATGATGGTGTGTACTGACTCCATTACTTCCTCTGCCATCAACATCCATCTGAAAAATGGGCAGAATAAAAAAATGAAAAACTAATACTACTAATACTATTAATCCTACATACAACTAATTCTAGTTTAGGTTGTTTTCCTTTTTAAAGTTTCCTATTGGTACCTGTCTGTGACATGGCTGGCTACAACAATTTGGTGTAAACTTCTAAGAAGATTACTTACTGGAGAATGGTGAGGTTGAATGTATGTTGGCGCTGCAACAGGGACACCTGCAACTAGCAAAGAGTTTGGTAGGCTTGTTACTGGTACTGCTCTGACATGATCAGGTATTTGATCCACATCGATGAGAACTGGTGGTCCAGAATGGGGTGGGTGATGTTGTAAAGGAACTGTAGATCCCATACTGAGAGGGCAGAAATTGTTGTTTGTTGATGGATGGAAAAATCTATTGTGTGAAGAGTGATGGTGTTGCTGCTGCTGCTGCTGTTGCTGATGAAGAAAGGGGCAGCTATGACTTGATGAACTCCTAAAACACAAAATTACTTCTAAATCAGAATATTAAATAAGTTGACAGATGCAGGTAAAGCAACATAAGATAGACCCTGACTGACTCAAAATAATTTTCATCATATCACACATATAACACAATAAATATAGCATTTTCATTAACTTGGGCTTGAGTTGTTGTAAAATAGAGTACTCACCCATGACTTTCTGAGGGTGGATGACCAGGCAGATTATTAACTCTGTGAAAGGCTGAGGAATGATGAGGATGAGCTGGATAAGGAGGCATATGCCTCAATGGCTGATGTGCCATAGTTGTTAAAGAGCCTTCACTTGTGAGATCAATGACTTGTGGACTACGACTTGACTTAATATCACTCTAAGAGGAAATTAAAAAAACCATCAGAAGAATTCATGGCTATGCTTCTTTTAAATTTGATTCAGCTTCAGCTGACAAGCATAAGAATCACGTGAGCTTCACC